TCAGCGATGACGTGGACCAATGAGAAATTGACAAGTGTTTATTATGTCTTAAGGGAAGTCGGCCAATAGAGAGACAAAAGGAGAAAATCTAGGCAAATATATTTCAGCCACTTTGTTGATAAGGTTGTTGCTAAATATATTTGTAGAGATTTGAATCAATTCAAATATGTCATCAATTCAAAAGAGAAGACTTAAGAGATTTAGTTACAATAAATAACTAAATCCCAATGAAGTAGGAATTTCAACAAGAAAGGAATAACCGTATAAGTTCAAAAGTTACAAATGGCCATTAGGCCATTTAAGGGAATGAAACGGGCTGCTAAACTTAAGGAGGGGAGTTGCTAAAAATTAGCAACTTTTCAGCAACTTTCTAGCAACGTTTTAGCAATATCTCGGCAACTTACATGTGATTAAATCGAGGAAGGTTGTTTTTATAGAGATTTCCTACTGAAACAAAACAAGAAAGGAAGCGGAATAACAATAGGATTTGACTGAGTTCAAATTATGAAGAAAAAGAATCAAAGAAGGAGAGATTTTTTAGCAATAACTTAGGAAAATAAGTTGAGATAGAACTTCTATAAATAGAAGTATTGTATTCCTATTCCAATTTGTCCAGCACCACCACAAAATATGCATTTCAACTAAAAAAGTTTTCAATTGACTCTACGTCATTTTTTCCCTATCAATTTCTTTATTTCAATTTAATGGCAATTGATTAGATCATTGTCAACTATTTCAATTCAGCCATTTACTTTCTTTCAATTTCAATTATGCCAATTTTAATTACGCAATTTTAGTTAGGCTTTCAATTCAATGGCAATTGATTAAATTCTTGCCATTGAATCGTAGTGACAATTGATTAAATTCTTATCATTACTTGGCTGATGGCAATTGATTAAATTCTTGCTATCACGTTTCAGTGGCGATCGATTAAATTCTTGCCATTGTGTTTGGCTGATGGCGATTGATTAAGTTCTCGCCATCACGTTCGGCCGGCGATCGATTAAGTTCTTGCCGCCTATCTTCACTCGGCCATTCCATCCATTCAAACATTCATCAGCCGTTGCATTTCTTTAGACACTCTAAAAAGTCCTTGCTACAAACAAGGCATAAAAGAACCTTGCTGGGAGTTCTTATTAGTCTCTCTCCCACACAATCGCCTGAGAGTCAGCCATCGAAAAAAGGGATAGGCTGGTGTTCAATTACATATTTTGGGTATTTTGTACAAATACTCTGGCACGCCCGTGAAGAGTCCATCGACCGGCGTAGGGAACAAAAACCGCGCGAACACAATCCCACCAAATCAAGAAAAACCAGAGATAATCTTGCAGCTAGTATTTTGGAGATGATTTTCTTAATGAGGTTGCATAAAGCTATAGGCCAGTATTCTTTAGCCTTGACTGCATTTCATACTTTTGTGGGAAATCTTGACTCACAAATAAAAAAATAAAATTATTTAAATAAAAAATAAAATCATTAAAAGGCCACCTATTCTACGTTTACGTTGACCGGTAAAATAAGGAATGAAAGATTTTTAAGTTATTTTTATTATTAAATTCATCATTTACTAAGTAATTAAATATTTATGAATAACTCTACAGTAATTCATTGTTCTTCTGTTATAATGAAAAGTTGTAAAGAGTGGATATGATAAGGTATACCTAATGAGTTCTGAACTCATCCATTCTATTATTCGTCCTTTTCTTATATGAGCTGCCATGTCATCTCTAGCACTTTGATTTTTTTTTTTTCCCCAATTTTCCTTTCTCTCTTTCCCTCTTCCTTTAGTTCTTCATCTCGTTCATCAATTCTTCACCATGTTAATTAACAGAAAAACTAATAAGAAACCTCTAAATTGGAACCTTGAGATATATTGTTGTAGAAAGTGGGTCCAAATCATTTGATTCCCTTTCACGCATCTATGGATGTTTTCTAAAGAGAAGACCCAAAACTCATGCAAGGTATCATGATTCTTTCAATTTATGCATGCATTCATGAAATAATTCAATTTACAGGGTTAGTATAACAACGATAATCCAAGATCAATCAAATTGAATGCAAGTATGATTGGAAGAACCTCCCAACACTATAATTAGGGTTTCAATCTTGTAAGGACGGGTCCAAGGATCGGTTAAACTATATTTCTATCATGATCGATCAGTAACTCTTCAGTTTTTAATGTATATAAACACAATTTTTGAGTTCTTTGGTTCACGGATTTTCAATTGAACTCAAGCAATCAAAAGGGTTTATAGAGAGACTAATTCCTCCACATTGGACTAAGATAAACTCACTTGTACCTAAATTGAAAGAGAACAAGAGAAAGAGAGGAGATAGAAACGAAGAGAGAGAACGGAACGTCAATTCCTCCACATTGGACTAAGATAAAGTCACTTGTGCCTAAATTGGAAGAGAACAAGAGAAAGAGATAATAAGAGAAAGAAACGAAGAGAGAGAACGGTGAAAATTTTCGATTTTTCTATCATTTTTCTTCTTGTATTACATCACCTTTACCAATTAAGGAATTTTCTTTCTATTTTTATTCTACCCATCACACTTTCTTTGTCTCTTCTTACATGGAGTATCATCTATCTTCATATTTTCCTTCTACTCATCACACTTTTGCGATACACCTATAAATTTTGGGATAAAAAAAAAAAAAAAAAAAAAAAACAAAAAACAAACAAACATTTACCTATAAATTTCAAATTATTGTCACTTTTCCTGCAGGCTTGTGCATAATTTTGCATCAACATATATTATATCACAAGATGTCATTTCCCTTCATTGTGTATTTATCACAAGAGCAATAGATTCATGTACTTCTACAAACGCCTATTCTAATGTAATTTTTTAAAAATTTATATACATTTAGTGTTAATACCTTATTAAACTAAATTGCTGGTTATTTATGGTTTTCTTTTTAATAAAATGATGCATCGTTTGCTTTCTTAGAGATACAAATCTTTGGTATAAAGGCTCCATTGAGATTCAAAGGTTTATAAGTAGTACCAGACAATATGTTAGGTCCGTCCAATTATTAGCTATATATTTTCTAACTCTAATCTTAGAAGGGGATGGATGAATCATCAACAATTTAATGAAGAGTAATAATAGAGAAACCGAAAATAAATTTTTGAATTAATATCGAATTTGACGTGGTTGGCCATTCTTATCCTGATAAAAATACGTCAGATTCGTAATCTCAAACAACTAATGGACCTCAATGCAACCACTATATAAACCACAAAACCCACCACAACTACCATAAGCCGGACAATCTCTGACTCGTTGATGATCCCACCTCTTCGGTGTATTAGGGTTAGTTAATACAGTTTGCTTTTGAATTTCAATCCACTTTAATCTGGTTCTGGTAGGGTGGGCCTGTTTTTGGCCTTTTTAGAACTCTTGGGTGGGCTTCCATGGCTTTGATTTTGGCCCAGATTGTACCTTGTACCTTGGTTCTGGGTCGGTCGGTAGTTAAAACTTCATACTTCAAGGGGTAATTTTGGTGTTTCCAAAAGCAACATATAATCTGTTAGGCATAGAATCTGGAACTTTACATCATTATGACTTGTAGTTGTAGCATCCAGAAACCCCATATTCAATGGATCTTCATAAAGTTGAGATTACACGTGCAAAGCATGAGCAAATTAGGCGTAGAAGTTGGGCAAATAATAAGCTTATAAAACATGATTAAAAGCTTTTTTATGCATACTCCTCCATGTTAAAGGCACCCACAGGCACAATTAATTGGTGTGCCGTGTGCGCCTTCGTTGATTTTTGCCTCCCCTTTCTGAAAAAAAAAAAAAACATGGTGAAACTGGTTATTTATTTATTTACTATTTATTATTATTATTTTAATGCAGCAGTTTGGCAAATACCCTCTCTTCACAGTTTTTTTTTTTTTTTTTAGAAACCCGAGATATCCACGGTTTCGCTCTGACTAATCGTCGAGGACCCGTGTAACCCTCTCTTCACAGTTCACACGCAAGGTTGGTTTAGCTAAAAAAGACAATTCTTTAACTCCTTTGATTAACTTGCAAAACATTGATCTTTCCAAATTATCTAAAAGTTGTAACTTATCCCAATCCATCAGAGTGTCGTTAAGCTGCATCTAATTTAGTAAAAACAAATAAAAAGAAAATTTCTCTATACATTTTTTTTTCCCCCTCCTCTTCACAATCAGGTAAATCTCGAATTATATTTGCGGTCGTGGCCCCTAAACAATTGATCGCACTCGAGAGAATTCAAACCTGAGAAGTAATGCTTCTAGAGGTACTAAGTTCCCAGGCTTCACCGCTGGTGCCAACCCCTTGTGGTTCATTATTGCTTAGTTTAATTAGATGGAAATAACAAGAAAGAAAAAGAAATGAAATATAATTTACTTTTTTGTTTCAAAATTATTGGGTGTTTGGAGAATCCAATCTTTTATGGTAGTAAATTTTTAATATTTTTTTTTTATTGCATTGATAAAGGTGAATTTTCAATTTTTTTACTTATTAAAAGATAAAAGAGTATTCCGTAATACATGTACTCGATTAATAAAGTTAATGTAAAATGATACTCAATACTTTAAGAATGTTATCAAAATATGGTAGAAAGTACTTTTATATGTGAACTTGCAATTATGACCCCTATTTTATCTCTCTAATAAAATGTGATTATGCATAATTTATTCCATTTGGCCCTTGCTGCTTCACCTAATCGTTCTTACCCATCTACAATTCTCTCGGAGACTCAGAGTCTTACCTACGATTCTCACATTTATTCCATATATCTATCATTTAGGAGACCACCTTAATTTGCTGCCAAAATAATATCAACTTATTGTGTAATAGAGACTGCTTTGAAAATCATACAATTAATAACATTATTCAATGGATCAAGTATGGAAGCATAGAAAATATCCATGCAAATTCCAACAGCAAGTCATACAATTAATTAATAGTCTCCTCTCTAGGCAAAAGAGTACACCTCATAGCAGTATCTATTACACAATAAGTCATGGAATTTGCATGGATATTTCTATACTTCCATACTTAATCCATTGAATAATGTAGTCAGCCATCTGAATGATTTTCAAAGCAGCTAAATGCATTTCATGACATTGTTGAATCTAGATATATATAAGAATAATATATAATAACTTAAGTCTATAAATACCCATGCTTATCCAAGAGAAATAGCATTCTCAAGGTCTAAGATTTTCAAACTAGCTCTCCAAGACTAGTAGAACTAAAAATCCTCCTTGCTAGCAAAACCTCTCTCTCTCTCTCTCTCTCTCTCTCTCTCTCACACACACACACACACACACACTGACACACAAAAACAAGCACACATGGAAGGACGACTAAAGTCACTCCTAAAGCCCACAACACATGAAAACCCATATATTGATACACCAAAGTCACCGCTGCAGCCCCCAACTTATGGGAACCTAATCACAGTTCTCAGCATTGATGGAGGTGGAATCAGAGGGATTATTCCTGGAACAATCCTCAGCTTTCTGGAATCTGAGCTTCAAGTAGGATATACTTTTTTGTGTTTAATGTCAAATTATATATATATATATAGCCATTTCCTTGGATTTCTATAACACATGTACACTTCAAGTAATTAATTGTACTTATTGTGCAGCTTTTCTTCATGCTTATAAATTGCCATGCCATATGTAAATTACACACACATTTATCTTAAAAAGTAGTATTAATGGTTAATTTGGTTGTGTATGATGCAGAAGCTGGATGGTGAGGAAGCAAGAATTTCGGACTATTTTGATATAATTGCAGGGACGAGCACCGGGGGCCTTGTGACTGCCATGCTAACTGTACCAAATGAAAAAAACCGCCCCTTGTTTGCTGCGAAAGATATCAAAGACTTCTATCTTGAACACTGCCCTAAAATATTTCCACAAGTCAGGTAATCATGTCATGGATTAGTCGGGCAAAACCCCGGACACCCCGGTTATCGAAATTATTATTATTATTATTTATTTATTTATTTATTTATTTTGTATTTCTAACTGTGGTAATATATGGTAAATCATATCGTTCTTAATGTTATTGAACTTTTCAAAACAACAGCAATCCACTTCCTCATGTTTCAAAGATAATCAAAGTGTTCTCGGGACCAAAATATGATGGGAAGTATCTCCATAACATCATTAAAGAAAAACTAGGAGACAAGCGATTGCACGAGACGTTGACTAATGTTGCAATACCAACGTTTGACATCAAGAAACTCCAGCCAACCATATTTTCTACCTATGAGGTTAATTATCCTAATATTATCTTCTTAACCCAAATTTTTTTATCAACAAAATCTACTGTTGATGATTTTTTTTTTTATGTGCTTCATGTTTAGGTGAACAACAAACCGAGCTTGGATGCCTTACTCTCCGATATTTGCATTGCAACCTCAGCAGCACCAACTTATCTTCCCGCCCATTATTTCGAAACAAAGAACCTTGAAGGAGAAGTGAGAGAATTTGACCTAATTGATGGTGGTGTTGCTGCAAATAATCCGGTAGTTTAATCTATGATACCTTAATCGAAAGTCTTTAATATTTTTTTTTTGGTAACATTTTAAATTTATTGTTGAAGTGTAATTTTTCAGACAATGGTTGCAATCGGTGAAATAACAAAGCAGACCATGAAGAGAAATCCTGGCTACTTTGCTATTAAGGAATTAGACTATGGTAGGTTATTGGTTATATCCTTAGGAACAGGCACATCCAAAGCAGAATATAAATACAAAGCAGACGAAGTGGCTAAGTGGGGTTTGTTGAGTTGGTTAACAAGTGGTGGTTCTACTCCATTAATAGACGTGTTTTCTCAAGCTAGTGCTGATATGGTTGATTACCATCTTTCTGTGATATTTCAAGCCCTTCATTCCGAAAAGCATTACCTCCGTATTCAAGTATGCATCCGTGTTCAAATTATTAAGTTACGTTTTTCATTATCCAAACTAAAAATAAACATAGCAATTGTTGATCTATAAATTGCAGGACGACTCTTTAAGTGGGACAGTGTCTTCGGTTGATATAGCCACCACAACGAATTTGGAAGACCTTGTAAAAGTTGGCGAAGGGTTGCTAAAGAAACCAGTTTCGAGGGTAAATTTGGAGACTGGTACGGGTGAGCCTGCTGAGCAAGAGACTAATGAAGAGGCTCTCAGAAGGTATATGAATTATTTTTATATCGTCGATTCTACTATGGAGTTCGCTTTAACCTTTTAACAATTCTAACAAAAATTATGATCGATGTTGCAGGCTTGCAAAATTACTGTCCCATGAGAAACAACTTCGCGATATTAGATCACCAGCTGGAAAAGTTGCAAGTTCCAAATGATTCTAATCTAAGACTAATCCTTGTCAATCAATATTATCGTTCTCTCTGTTCTGTGTGACTGTATTCAAATAATAGCAGGCTTTTAACTAATATTTGTGAACTTATTTTGATGATGGGTGAGATTTCTTGAGATAATATTCCTCCCATTCTTAATTTCTAGCTATAATGAATTTGCATGAGAGTGTTGTCATCTTTCATGTACACTTTTCTGCAATTTAAATTAGATACATGCAAGTAATAAGTAAAGACAAAGGGCAAAAAGGTAATCTTGGAGTAGCTCTATTGTTGTTATAGACATTATCATATGTAGCCCCAGCAAATATATATATATATACATGATGCTTATTCAGATTACGTCATTGGAATAGTAATATAGTTCTATCATCTGAAATTACTTCAATTCCTAAAAGTTCTTAATTTCTGCAGACATTTTGTCCATGATTAAGCTTAAAACATGATTTGGATATTCTTTCTTTTTGGGTGAGTTTGGCTATCATATTTGAGACAAACGGGTGTTTCTTTAGTCTGTTGTACATAATTTTCATCAAGTGTGTAAAGATTCAAGGTTGAGTATGCAAAACAATGACCAACGTCTGTAATCTAGTGGTATCTCCTCTCCTTTTAAAGTGAAAGGTAAAGAGTTTGAAATGCACTAGTCAAGAAAGGAAAAAAAATTGTGCATTTCCCGGTATATATATCCTGCCTGCATCTAATGATAGGAGAGGAAGATTATGGTTTGTTTGGTTTGTCACACAGAAAACTATTCTCGAGAACTTAGAAAACAAAAAATTATTTTTTAGAGAACTATAAAAGACAGTTCTTTACAAACATACATTTTCTTAATTAGTTTTAATAAAGCAGTTATCAGAAACTATCAACCAAATAAATTTTTGCACAATTTTCTAATTTTGTTTCAGAAAGTTGAACCAAACAGACCCTAGGTTGCTCTCATTCTCAAACCCTTGATCTCATGCTTGCCTCTTCTAACTTTTTCCAAGATATAGTAATTAATTACCCAAAAGTGAGAGAGAGGAATTAATATTTCATTAGCCTCTTTAGAAATTGTCCAATGGTTCAATAAATGTAATAAATTAATCAGTTGCATGCATCCTTAGTGAGCAAAGTTTGGCAAAGAATTAAACTTTTAAGCCATATAGTCAATAGACTTTATGCACATTTCCTTTATTTAACTAACATACCAAGAACTTAACACTTTCTTTATTATGTTGAAGTTATGAATGATTGAGTGGTCATTAATTAAATTAATCTTAATTTATGGACTTAAACCAGTTTCTTGTAAACATCTGGAGCATAAAAAATTTACTTCTGTGGACTAATTCTTGTCACCATGACTGACCTTCTTACATCATCATCATCTACCATGCTTGTTATATATATATATATATATATATATATATATATATATATATATATATATATAGTTTACATTCTCTTGATAATTAACATATATGATACAGAAGTTCTGTTGGTTTTTGAATGTCACATTTTGGTACATTCCTTTATCTCATTCTTTTTGTAATGGATAAACAAACCTGAATATTAAAATCTGTTAGTATATTAGCAACTTAATTGATACAGTTTAAGATATATATATATATATATAAAATCAATTCTTGACCTCCGTGAGTGAGTTAGAGATAGGCCATCTCCTACCACATGCATCACGCCCTTTATTACTTTACCTAAACAAGTCTTACCTACAATTCTCTTGTTGGAGTCCAAAGTCCAAACTACAAGTCCCCCAATATAGTACTGCCAATGAAGAGGCTGCTAGAAGCAGCAGAGCTTTTGGATTATTGACTTCTTCCATTGAACCTTCGAATGATGTTGATGATCAAGCTGCCCATAATAAAGATTGTTTCGTGAACAATCAGACATGTCCAAGACAAGAAAGCACAGCTGGTTACGTGAAGATTAAGTTGACTGTGGAAAATGTTAGCAATGAAGATTGTATAAAAATGGATGAGAAAAGGCCCAATTTCTGGTAACATTATCACCATTATGAATAATTATTTATGCAGGTGGAGTGGGGTATTTTGGATGGGCAAAATACTTGGTAAGGTTCTTTTTGGTATGTGTTTTGTTTTTGTCAAGTATTGTTGGAGTGAATGGTAGAAAAAACATGTTTGGTCTTGCATGTTTTGTTTTGCACGTTGCCAAAACGTTTCGTGAATAACAATCAAAAATCAAAACACCAATTTGTTGTTTTTACATGTTTCAGCACTCTAGCAATGGATACTGTAGCCATTTTTTTTAAAAAAAAAAAAAAATACTTAATTTTTTTTTTTAAATTAGCCATTATATTTTTTAAACTTATAACACTTCTTATCAAACATATTTCATATTTCTTGTTTAAATTTTTTTATAACAAATGGATATTACCAAACATACTTCTAATTATTATTCAAAACACCATATAATAAAACAATAATTCTATTTCGAGATAACATAAAGTGTACCATCTTGCCCTAAAAGTTCAAAGTTCATTTCTAATGCTTTTACCATCAACAAGAAATTGTGACAATACCGCTCACTCATTATGCTTTACAACGAGAGAGAAATTCATTGCCCAAAAAAATATATATATTACTGTAATTGCCAAAAGTACCAATTTGCAAAGAAAAAACTCGTTGCTAATTGCTGGAGAACCATTGCAAATTCTTGAAACAAAATTTTTTTTAATAATTTAATTGGGTGTTTAATTCTGAACAGATTAAACACTTAGTTAATTAAGTGCATTTAATAACAGAGTTTGAATATCACTGAAAACGATAGCACAATAAAATTTTAAGAAATAATAGAGACATTGCTTCTCACTAAAAAAATTCAAATCATATAAATAGAATAATTATTTTTTATTTACCACTTTTAATTCAGCTTAATTTTCAGTTTTATTAAACAATAATAGTTCAAAAAATTGCAGGTTGTTGCAAAAGTTCTGTTTTTAATTAAATTATAAAAAAATAAAAGAAGAAGGAGGAGGAGGATTAGTCCAAAAAATGTGCCGGGACTGAAAGGTCTACTTGATTTGGATGTATCAATAACAGACGTACATACAACAATCACTCTTTTTTATTTCTTTGGTAGCATGATACTATCCATCAATCACTTATCTTATCATCAAAGATTCATTATCAATCTGATAAATGAAATATTGTAATAAAATAATTTAAAACAATTTTTATTACAAATTGCAAATTTTTTAAAAATATATTATTACAAATTCCAATTTACTAGTATTATGGTCAGAACACAAGCACTTGATTAGCTTAGATTACATGGAAAGAAAAGGATGAAAAAGTTTTTTCATAAGTTAGGACAAAATAATTTTTTTTTTAAAAAAGTTGTTTTTATACATAAATGATTTAAGATGAAATGGCATAGGAGAGGGTCATAGTTTGTACTTTATTTATATACATGTATATATGTATATATATATATTTATTGTGTAATGATTTGTAAAAATCCGTTTTAATTTCTTGTTGCCCTTCGTAATACTATTGAAAGATTGCAGAGAATTTCATACTTTCTTGTATTGCTATCACATGTATATATACAAAAGAGTACAACTCATAAAAGAAACATATCCCATGATTAAAGCAATCTGAGAATTATAACAGCTAGCTATACACTCCTAATTTACAATATGTAATCCTATATATTTCTCCTAAATTTATATTGTGTAATCCCACAATTCATAGAGACTAGAACATTCATCCAATATCCTCCCGTAAACGCGACGACGGAGCCAAGACGAGTTTGGAATTGAGATGTGAGGAGCGCTGCCTAGGTAATCCTTTGGTAAATATATTAGCAAGCTGGTCCTTCGAAGACACAAACTGAATTCGATGAGTGCGGGTTGCAACACGTTCACGGACAAAGTTATAGTCTAATTCAATATGTTTAGTGCGTGCATGAAACACCGGATTGGCAACCATGTAGGTGGCACTGAGGTTATCACAATAAATTACAGTTGGAGAGATAAAGGGAAGACAAAGTTCCTGCAAGAGACTGTGGATCCAAATTGTGTCAGCACAAGTATAGGCAAGTGTACGATATTTAGTTTTGGCACTAGAGTGGGTGACTGTCGGTTGTTTCTTGGCACACCAAGAGATTAAATTAGGGCCAAGAAAAATGCAATAACATGTGGTGGAACGACGAGTATTTGGGCAACCGGCCTAATCAGCATCAGAAAAGGTAGTCAAACATGTCGGGATGTTGGAACGGCGTATGGGAAGACCGCGGCCAAGGGAACCTTTAAGATAGCGAAGAATTCTCTTAACAGCTTCCAAATGAGAAGTACAAGGCTGACTCATGAATTGAGCAACGCTTTGGACAGTGTAGGCGATGTCTGGATGAGTAAGGGTAAGGTATTGGAGAGAGCCAACTAAATGTCGATACTCAGTAAGATCAGCCAATAAAGTTCCAGAAGAAAAAGAGAGTTAAGATTTGGCAGCAACAGGTGTAACACAAGCTTTGCTATCAGGAGTTTACTTTGGCGAAGGATATCCAGTGTGTATTTATTTTGAGAGAGATGCAACCTTTGTGAAAAATGAGTAACTTCAATACCCAAAAAGTAGTGAAGTTGCCCAAGGTCTTTAATTTCAAATTCAGCCCCTAGTGTTTGGGTGAAGGAATGAATGAGAGAAGGAGTATTGCCTATAAGAATGATGTCATCCACATAGAGAATGAGGACCATAACTTGGGAGTTGCGATGAAAAGTGAACATGGAGTTGTCGGCTTTGCTTTGTACAAAACCATAAGAGAGAATGAAATAACTAAACCGTTGAAACGATGCCCTGGGTGCTTGCTTTAAACCGTAAATGGCTTTATGGAGTTTGCAAATGTGATAAGGGTGACTAGAATCTACAAACCCGGGTGGTTGAGTCATATACACCTCCTCAGTAAGAGAACTATGAAGAAAGGCATTTTTGACATCTAATTGGTGAATAGGCCATGCATTAGATACAGCAACAGTAAGAACTGTACGAATCGTTGTGGGCCTGACTACAGGGGAGAAAGTCTCACCATAGTCGATGCCAGCTTGCTGATGAAAGCCTTTAGCAACGAGATACGCTTTGTAGTGCTTAATACTGCCATCAGATCGTTGTTTTAGCTTGAAAACCCATTTACATCCAACAATATTGACATTAGGTGGCGGCCGAACAAGAGACCA